CACGTGATCGTTTAATAAAAACTTATAATTAAACCTTATCCAGGCTTCATTCTCGGTCCTGTACTTTCCATTCACTTGATCTTAACCGTTGACCGAAAACACTCGTCAACAAGACTTATGATATTTTAGATACTTTTATATAATATTTTATCATGTCATATTATATCTATATACATATACCTATATATATATACATATTAAATTTAAATATGTTTAAACATATTTTCTTTACAATCGAGTTTAGAAAACATCTTCCATACAAATGTAAATTCAAATGTTTTTAAATATGTTTGTTTTTTCCAAAATAGTTTAAAAGAATTGTAGGTGACTTCACATCTTTTAATAATAATAATACATAAACCAGTACATACTTTTACATGTTTTTAATATTTAAACATGCAAACTTTATGTTCTCTACACAAGTTAATTTTATATTGCTGATACTAAACTGATATACGACGGTAAATTATATCACATGTTAACTTCACATCTTTAATTTATAATATTTTTTTGCTCTTTTAAAATAGGATCCTGGTTTCTCACCACTCAAACTCGAGACCTATTTATAATTATTATTTAATAATATTTACCCGTGCATCGCACGGGGCTACGCACTAGTTGGAAATGAAAATACAAAACGAGTTTGGTCTTTTGTCACTTTTCATAAAGAAAGTCGTGTTTTTTATGTTCAAACTAATAAATTACAGAAATTTTTGTGTGAGACCATCATAATCGTTAAGCAAATCGACCCGTTATACTGTTTGAACAAAAATGGAAGTAATGTCATATTTTTTATTATGTTTTTCTTTTAAGTTATATTTTCTAATAAAAAAATATATATTTATAACGATTTAACGAGTATATCGACCTAACGTAAAAAAATAACCGAAATAATGAGTGTATTGTGGGAGAAAGGAAAGAAAATTAAGACAAAAAAAAAAAAAGTATATTGATATGTTTATCTCACAAAATATGTTCGTCTGATGCATGGGTATGTAATATATAAAAAAAAATCTTATTTTTTTATGTTGATTTTGCACGATATAATTACTACTTAAGATTTACAAATTTACATTTATATTATTTATAAGATTCAATAAATATAATTAACTTAATTAATCATTCTTAATTGGTATTATTATATAAATATTGGTTTATTTATATTAATAAACATAATTATTTTTATTTATAAATCAAATGTTGGTGTTTTATATAAAAAATGTTGATGGAATATTAATTTTATATATTGCATATATAATGAGTAATTTGATGAATGTCAATGATTTTTTAAGAAACAAAAAATATAAAAAAAAAATTGTTAAAAATATGTAAATACAAACAATATAAATTTTTTAAACAACAAAAAAGAGAGAAAAATATGTAAATACAAACAATTATAAATTTTTAAAACAACAAAAAAGAGAAAGAAACTTGTTCTCGTGTGTTTTCGCCAACGGGGCCACCGAGGCGATGATCTTATAATTGTGTAATATTTCAGTGTATTGTTTTATGAATTTTAAGGTGATAATCATCAACGAAATTTTATTAAAGATGCGGCCACTCCCGAGTCTCCTTTGCACACAAGCATTAGAAGGTTGGGAAGAACAAAAAAATATATGAGAAAGCTTGGAAAGCTAATGCAGGAAGGGAACTACTTTAAGGTATTTCTCAGTATTACTTATTTGGGACAAGCGATGATTTCAATTTGGCTGCATGGTGACATATATTTGACAACTTGCAATAAACTTGCTCTATTTGGGCAATTGGCTTATTTTTCTGGGCAGTGAGAATTGTCTGAAACGATTGTTCTTGACATCTTGTCACATTGGCTTGGAACAGATCCCAAACTGGCTGAGATCGGCATGTCTGCCTCGTAGCTAGGAATAAGGTCAAACGCATATATGGATAATGATTTTGTGGTCGACATCTTTTTCTCCGGCTAGAGTGCTCCTATGCATCCGAACTCAGGGCATGTCGCATGTTGGCTGATGATTGCGTCATAATCATTTTAGGTCAAAAAAAATCGTGTATCAACTATCAACATAACTAATAAAGAACTCCTCAACTCGATATGTTATTTTTTGTATATAACATTATTCCATCATGTATGTATACATATATTCAAATAAAAAATATTATATAATATATGTATATACACAGTATTTAAAATAATAAGTTAAATAATGAGTATACTACATTTCAAATTTTGACCATCAATAAAAATGAATAGTGTAAATATAAAGTATTTAACTTGTTTATTAACTTGTAAATATAAACTATTTAACATGAATATTAAATTATTTAATTTAATTTTGTAAAAATACGACATTTCAAATTAAACAATACGTACTATAACATTCTACACAAGTTAAAAAAATAAAATAAAAAGAAAAATCAACAATTATTTTGTTCCTTGTACGTTGTAGTTGGTAGAGATGTTAAACGGTCCTTGACCGACGGACCGACCCATTTAGCCCGGAAAAAAATAGGGTTAGGGCTTTTTATTGGTAACCCGTTTAAATCAGGGCTTTTTAGGCCCGAACCGTTTAAAACAAAGCCCGTTAGGGCTAGCCCGAAACCCACTAGGGCTGGCCCGTTTAACTTGAGTTAGACGTTGTAAATATTTCCAGCAAGTAAGTAATACACTCTTAGATTCATTGTACATTACAATTTTGATATTCTACTTCACATATAAGTATGAGTTGTAACAGATTATATTAATTTTGAAAGAAAATTATTAACAATATTCTTATTTTACTCCACACCAAAATATTTAACTCAATCATAACGACTAATAAGAAACAAATGAGACAAAGACCTAACACATGAAACATAGTGATATAATATCGTAAAAATTTCCAAAGCGTACAAAATAAGTAGTGAAATGGTAATTGTAAGTAATAATTCGAATGTATTTTTCTTTTGAAAAAAAAAAATGTTATTTAAGAGTTTGTAGTATGTGTTCATATATGATGTGTACCGTTGAAAACAATCGTTAATTAGTCGTTGTAATTTTTTATAATTTTTTCTTTTTATTTTTGATATTTTTTGATACATTATTATTATTTCTATTATTAATATTTATAAAGCCCGCTTAGCCCGAAGCCCGTTAAAGTTAGAGTTAGATACTTTTATTGGTAGCCCGTTTAAATCGAGACTTTTTAAGCTTGGACCGTTTAACCCGAAGCCCGCTAGGGCTAGGATGGGGGCTCTGCTGTGAAAAATTAAACAGCACCTACTGTCACAGCAGAGGCCCCCCCACCCCTAGGGCTAACCCGAAACTGCTAGAGCTAGCCCGTTTAACATCTAATAGTTAGCAACTCAGTTCAGTTAAATTCAAATTAGGGTTTTGCCCAAACCCCAATCGACCAAACCAACTAACCAAGCGACTGGGTTTGTCATCCTTCCTCCTCGGAACCGTCGCCGGCCTTCATTTTCCGATGTATGAAACAGCCGCCGAACTTTCAGAATTTGTCTTTTTATATTCTGCCATTATCTATCTCACGCAATTTTGTGTTCGTACTCCATTATCCTATTTGTTATTGGATTCAGACGTTAAATAAATGAGGGTGAAAAAGCAGAAGCGCCACCGGAGGGCCGTCCGATTCTACACGGCCTGCTTTGGATTCCGGGAGCCGTTCAAAATCCTGTGCGATGGCACTTTCGTGCACCACCTTTTGGCCAATAGGATCACACCTGCTGATACTGCGTTGGCGAACACTCTCGGGGCCGCCGTCAAACTGTTCACCACCAGGTATACTTTGGGCATTATTTTATTTATTTATTTTGTCGATTTATGCTCTATTTTCCTCTAGTTGATTTGGAAAAGAAATGAAAAAAATTGTACATGGGTTTTGGGTTTTGATCAAACAGATGTGTTCTTGCTGAATTGAGAAGCTTGGGCAAGTCTTATTCCGATTCGTTAAATGCTGCTCGAAATCTGATGACGGCGAGGTGAGCTGTTCGTTATTTTGTCCATCTGACATTGTTTTGCATTGCTCCATGAATGATTGGAGAAAATTGGTTACTGAATATGAGTAATGTGCCTTCGTATATAATCGTTTGAGCATTTATGACTTGAGGATAATGGATTTGTGTTTGCACCAATTGATCGAGGGAAAAGGAACTATATATAGAGTTAGACATGCTTATGCACGGCTAGATTTCTGCCATTACCTATCATGATATCCGAGCGAATCAGTTCTTAGAGAATCTATTTTTCATCACCCGTAAATCTCTCTTTGAATAGTTAATTTTCTTCCTCCCAGCTTTGCTCATGAAATGAATTCTATGATTACTTTTACCTGCCAGTTGATATCACTAAATCCTTCAATTGTCTTTGGACTATATGAGCAATTCAATTCAATTCTGTGTCTTAAGTGTCTTGAACCTGTTCTTGTAGATGTGACCATGAGAAGCGAAAAAGTGCTGTAGCATGCATGACACAAGTTATTGGTGAAAAAAACTTGGAGCACTTCTTTGTTGCCACGCAGGACGCCGAGCTTAGGAAGAAGTTTCAAGAGGTTTCATTTGTTATTTCGTTATATTTGTACATTTTTTATCGTAGAACAAGAAATAAACTTTTATTATCACCTGTGTCCATGATGCCTAGGGTTGCAAACGAGCTGAGTCGAGTTGAGTATTGGCCTTGAATTGTTTATTTTTTTGTTACCTCGAGCTCGATTTTCGATGCTTGAGATTGACTCGACAAAAGAAGACAATCACTCGAGCTCGGCTCGAGATCGATTGAAATCAAAATGCTTGAAAGATTGCTCAAGCTTTCAAGTACAATTACCATTAATACATATATAAAATATTGTAATATATAAATATATATAAGGGGTGTTTTAGTAATTTACTAATATCTTGAGCAGACCTTCCAGAACCTATGCTCGATATCGACTCGATAACATGCTCGAGCCGCTTGAGCTCGACTCGAGTTCGGTCAAACTCGAGCTCTCGCCAGTTGCTCTGTTCGTTTGCAGCCCTACTGTTACCTAACACACTTTGTGTTAGCAGATTCCAGGTGTTCCTGTGATATACGGCCTTAGGAATGCTCTCTTTTTGGAACGCCCGTCTACATTTCAGCATGAGTTTGCAAAGGCCTCTGAAGAAGAACGTTCACATATGACTGATTTGGAGTACAAAATGCTGAAGCTCAAGAAAAGGAAGGTGGCTACTGATGAAGTAGGATGCTCTTCTGATGCAAATGAGGATCTCAAGGAAATTACAAGGAAAACGATAGATACAAGGGACAAAGTTCAGTTCAAGCGAAAGAGAGCTAAGGTTAGAATTGCGTGACTCCTTAACTATTTTTTTTTAATCATATTTGATCCTAGATACATATTGTTTCAAATGAAAATATGAATAATTACTTTGGTCCTGTGATTTTAGCCCAATTGTTTTTGTGTCTGATTGAGAATAATATCGTTGGATATTGCGATTGCTCCTTCCCAACTTTGACCCCAAAATAAGTAGATATGTTGCTGAATTTTGTTTTCCTTTTAATTTCATGCAGGGCCCGAATCCTCTGTCATGCAAAAAGAAAAAGACCCAAGGAAATACAGTCCCAACGGCTGAATTGAGGAAGGTATGCTAATAATTATGGTTTCCAAATGCTTGTAGTTTGTGGCAACATAATACTATGACTGTATGTAAAGTGTGGTGGTGTATATAAACCAAATTTGCTGGATCAGCGAGCTTAATAAGTATATGGTCCTCTGTTTTGAATATTCACAAATTCCTAAGAATTTTATCAATGTTACTGATATGTATTGTATCTGATAAGGTAAGCTTATCTTTTTCCCCCAAATTTTATTATGATAATCTCCGAGTGTAGGTGCCTTTTCTTCAAATGAGTGAACCAATGAGACTTTTCACTGGTCTCAGGAAAAATTTAGAATTCTAGCGTATTCTTTAGCACGATCATTGCTCATATTGTATACCGAAATAAAACAGTTCTGGTATAGGAAAATACTTCTATTCAGGATTGTTAACTTTATTGGACGACAATCAACAACCCATTCACTTAGTTAACCAATAACGGTTTGCATGCCTGAATTATGGTTATCTGCTTATAAAAACCTAAATTTGTGGTTTTAGGAAAATGTCGATAGCAGCACGACGAAGAGGAGCAGGAAACGTAGGAGGTCAAAGAAAAACAAAATCACTACCGAGCCTATTGCTGGATGATTGATATGTAGTGGATTTTGGCTATCTCCGAACTGTTTTCTGGTTTGTGCTAACTTTGCTTTGGTGTAAGTTGCATTGCAGATTACATGTATGTTTGAGAGCAAGATTACTCCCTAAGCACAGACTAGTTATATTTACCAGAAATACGCGGCAACAAAACGCCTATTTATTATCCATACATTGATTTTGATGCAGATTGTTGGATAAAACGGACACCAAATTTACGTTGGTTTTCCATTATGGACCGCTTTTCAAACCTACAAGTTCAATGGTTCATTGTTGTATCATTTCATACTATCGATTTTTCAAATAATAGTTTATTAATCACATTAGTTTAACATTTGTGTTTTACATGGTATTTATCAATCCAACGATCATTTTCTCGAGCTATGTCATTGTCATTAATTATGAGCATATAGGCGAGTTTTATTTACAGTAATCTTATGATTAATAGCAATACTTTTATTTTTGTTTATGATATACTAGTGAAATCCATTTAATTTTGGATTAATAAGCTAAAACTTCACCCGTTGTCTTTTAATTCGTGAGGCCTGCAAATTATTGCTGCTCCGATGCAAATCAATAATTCTCACTGAAATAGATGTTATCTTGAAAGATTTTTCCCCTCTAATGTATGGTTTTCTCACCTATTATCAAGATATTGCTTGCATACATGTTGTACATTGACAGCATAACTTGAATAACAGCAATTCAAAGCGTTTTTTCAGGTTTCATTTTTTTTATCGGTCCAGATTAGCCATTCGAATATATCCTAGCGAAAGCCATTCGAGTATATCCTTACGAAAGAAAGTCGTCTTCTACAATAACATCTTTTGGACAATAGTTTGTTGAAAGAAAAGAATTTGAACATAAACAATCAAAGTTCATGCTCAATCAGCAAATATGACGTGAGCCTGTCAAATGAAAGCAGTGCAGACATTTGCAATTACAAATCAAACAAAACTCAATGAGAAGAATCCACTCTACAATAGGGTGATAAACTACAATAAATTTTTTCTTGGCGCTTTCAACGAGAGGTCATGTGTTTTTGAGAACTCGGTTCAACATTCGCAACCAGTTGACCTTTGTTGACCGCTTCTTGCTACATCGATTGTGTCGGGCAGGTATCTTCACCAACAAAACCAATGTCAAGTAGAATAAATGCATAAATCAAGAATTTGAAAATTTCTGATTTCGGTTACTACGGTAGCTATAATGGAAATCAAAAGCAAACTAATGTAAGTACATAATTTAGGCAGCAACAGTATGATTGCGAATATCTCGAGCATAAAACTAAAATCAGCTTTCCCATAGAAGTTTTGTGGCAGATGAAATTAACAGATCAAATAATGCTGAAAGGTCAAAACAAGATGGAATTAATTATAACGAGTGTAATTATATCAGAAATAACATCGATTGGGGATGACAAGATGGGTTTTGTGTACTCACATTTCTTCTTCCTCTCCACTTTTGAGAGCATTCTTAGCTATGACCTGGAAAGCCTCTTCAACGTTGATGCCTTCTTTGGCAGAAGTCTCGAAGTAGGGAATATTACCTTTCGAGGCACACCATGCACGAGCTTTTTTCTCGGATACCTAGGATGGTACAAACAAACAAGTGATCGATCAGTCCAGTTATATGCTTAAAATAAAAATATAAAAGAAATCTGCTCAACCCTAATCTATTTTATGTGCATATTGACTGACAAAATGGATAAAATATAGGACAGGTATAAAAGGACATTTGAATAATTAAAAAAAAAAAAATCACAAGCAGCGATTAACTTCGAGTGCGTGGATAAAAATTTAGGACAGGTATGAAACCGTACAAGTCCATCTGTACAAAATGACTCTAGTCAGTGGAGACCCCAGACCAAGAAAGCCAGGAATCAAATAAATAAAATGTTACATAAACAGATTGAGAGAAAATTACCACTCTACTGTTTCCACCATCCACATCGGTCTTGTTACCAATCACAACAAATGGAAAATTTTCTGGATCTGATGGGCTTGCCTGCAGTGAAATTCAGCTTTTAGGATATTTTAATTAAGATTTTTTTGTTTATTCTTTTTATCTCTTCATGTGATAAAGAATACAGAACATGTAGGATAAACGCTCTCTATCATAAATGATAAAGTTACTGTAACTATTTAAATTGCACCATTGGAGACAGGATATAAGGAATACCACTAAGAAATTAGAGGCCTGGAATTTTTTAAGCTGTGATAACACGAATTAATACTTTGGACCAAAGACCAACTTTATACTCATTTACCCACATAAAACAAGTGGGAAGGGGAAAACTAACATGATAATACATTATGAAAGAAAACCCCGTATGCTTTGTCAATGTGTCTGCCAAAACATCCCTGTTACCCCTAGTGGAGAGTAGTTGAGGCTGATACTTCATATTCTAAGTACAATCCATAAGCACAATTAATGAAGTCGACATTTTGTTGAAGCAGCATAAAAGAGGTGCAAATCTCATGTCTATATTCTCAGATGGTAACAAACACGGGAAGTTGGGTAAAATTAAAAAAAAAAAAAAAAAAGATAAAAGTACCTGAATCAAGAACTCTTCTCTCCAGTTGTTAAGATTGTCAAATGATTTCATCACATTGACGTCGTAAACAAGCACACAACAATCAGCACCCCGGTAAAAGGCAACCCCAAGACTTTGAAATCTCTCTTGGCCAGCAGTATCCCATATCTAATAGAACAACAACTCAAGCTTAGAGAAGATATAGCCTATATAATCAAATTTCAAGGTACACTGAAAGATAACCTCCAGAAATTAAAAAAAAAAAAAAAAAGGTTCAGTATCTTATTGAAGCAATATAACCATACCATATTATTGTCTCACAGCTTGACCAAGATACATAGTTTCTGAATCCTGACTCATAAAAAGTGACAAGCTAAATCTTAGATAAATAAGAAAATGTTTCAGTCTAACCTGTAAAGTGAAGAGGCGATCCTCAAACTGCACTTCCTTTGTCAGAAAATCAGCCCCAATTGTAGCCTTGTATTGATTGCTAAATTTCTTATTCACATATCTTTAAGTGACAAGTGAAGGATAACACCCAAAGACTAACTAAACCCTATTTTCATAATACGGCTCGGTGACAAATGAACTAGCATCTTCACAAATAATCGATTAGTTCTCAAGGATACTGATTCATCAGCGAGGTCTTTCCTACCCTGCAAACCACACACAAAAGAACAATCACCAAACAACCATCTGTGAATGTATATTTCTCTACTCTTTACACGCACACCCGAACGAATAGAAATGCTTAAAAGCGCAATACACCGATCATACACAGATCGATTTAAACACCGTGAGATCTCTTTCGTTTTATGAAGCTCAAGCCAAGCCAAAAATCCATAAAGCTCATACATAACTTTTCCAGCAACAACCTCCAGTTTGATTTCAGAGCTTTAGACTTTCAACTAACATCTAAACGGGAAAAGCAATTAAGAAAATCAAACTCAATTTCCAGCAAACCACAACAAACCAAACAAAAAAAAAAAAAAAAAAAAAAAAAAAAAAAAAAAAAAAAAAAAAAAAAAAAAAAAAAAAAAAAAAAGAGGAAATTCGTCAAAATACAGAGAACACCTCACCCACTATCGCCGAGGATGATGACCTTGAGAAGAGCTCTTCTACGCGACGACATCGTATCGATCTCGATCTGAGATTGTCGACTGTACGGAGACTGCCTTTTTGCTGTGCAAAGCGACCGTGTGAGCCTGCGCGTGCGCAAAGACGAATGATTCGAAAATTCTGGTTGGCTTTTGAATTTTGTTTTCTCGTACTTGTTGACAGCCAAGTAAAAGTTTTTGAATTAATGAATTTTGCTAATTGCTATTTGCTAATAATTAACCTTCACATACCTAGTTGAGGACATTTTTATTCCTCAATTTAATTATTAAAAAAAAACATTACAACCTAATTTTGTTTATAATTCTAGACGATTTTTTAATGTTTCATAATTAGCTTATAAGCTCACTGTATTCAAATAACACTTGTTTGGTAGGACGAGTTTTTCAAAAAATTCGATCTTATTTGATAAGTTTCTTTGAGTAACTTTTCATATAAGCTCGTTGAAATTTTTATTTCAGCTAGTTTATCAGGTAATTTTACTAAACATTTTTATCATATAAGCTAGTTTTTCAACTCTAAGTCATAAGCTATAAGCTATAAAATCGAAAATTACTGATAAGCTATAAGCATTGATTTCAGGTCGTCCGATTAATCGCAATTAATCGCGATTAATCGTCCTGGTCGCTGTTTGTCCCATTTTTGTTGCATTTTTTGCTATTATTTTCTCA